AGAATCGGGGGCCATTGGAGCATTTTTTTTAAACAGAAAAAAGTGTCCAATGCGGGAATCGAACCCGGGTCCTAGTGGTCGAAAACCAAACGGTTTAACCAGCCTTCCACCGACCCCCTAAGACAAATGTGAATTCTTATAACTATGAAACACATCATAATCTCTAGCACTATAATTTCACAACGTATAGATAATACCAGAATGTAAGTTGCAATATTAAGTTAAGATAAATTTCTCTTAAAAGCCTTCCAACTTTGAATAGGGCGAGAGTGGGCCGCCGGACGGTAAACCTTTTAAGGGTTGATGGATCTTGAATTGATATAAGTTTACATGCACAACTGTTTCCTGAGCTCAAATTTCAGAATCTGAAAATTATTTTAATTTTTCGCAACGCAAATGAAAATTTCGAACAACTTTAGAAATCAGATCTAATCATTTTTTAAAAATATATATGTGAGATATGAACTAATTTTAGAATGCATTGCTGGAACCAGATAAGCATGAAGTTTCTAAATGAAAAAAAATCCAATATCAAAAATCGGATCAAAACCTCTGGAACTCCATGGTGATCAGTTTTCCAACGCGTAGACATTTTTGAATAAGTTATAGAGTATAGCTATAGAGAGAGTAGAAAATAATTCTATATATGGATGATTTAAGAAGTATATAGACACGACTATATGGTGGTTAATTATTGAAAGTAAAGTTTGAATTGTTGCATATAAAATTAGAGAAACCAACGCCTGAATGACAAAACACTTTTTTACTTTACTAAACTACAACCCTACTTTACATAATATGAAATGAGGCTCTAGATTCCTCGGTTGAAAGGCACAAAAAACACCAAACCGTGAAGACCAAAAGTTTTTTAAACATTATTTTTAAAATTTTTATAACTATATTGGTATAACTTTAAACAAAGACAAGCAATGCAAAACACTATTTTACCTAATTCCGTAGCCGTCACAAAGCAATAAAAGGCGCAAATATAAAACAGCACAATTAAAAACTTATTGTCGATTATTCCGTTAAATATTTATTAGGAATTGTTTGAAGGTAGATAGCGTCGACAAATCAGAAACGAACAAATCGGAGGCAGATATTCTATCAGAAAGAGATAAAAGTCCACTCCACTGCTTGGTAAAGTACTCTCTTTGTAATTCCATTGTCACGTCTTAAAATACTTTCAAATGAAGGGCCTTAGTATATTTTTCTTTTAAAATATCCATTTGAAACTAATTTTTCAATCATTAAATTTATTAAAATTGCATTTTTATTATAAAAATGAAGATTCTAGCTGCGATTAGTCAAGCAAGGAAAATTTGCGTAGCAAATAATTTTTACAAATGGATGCCAAGTCGTAGTAATTCTGTGCATTTCTTGGATAAGTACTACGATAGTGAAGGCATACTCCGGGCCCCCAAGTACTTCAACTTTGCCCACGATGTGGTAGACCGCTGGGCCAAACAGGAGCAAGCAGGAGAAAGAGATAGCCACCTTCCAGCTCTGTGGTTCGTCAAACAGGATGGGAAGGAGACCAAGTTGAATTTCAGTGAGATCTCCGACATGTCAAAGAGAGCTGCGAATTTCTTGGAGAAAGAATGTCAACTGGGTAGAGGCGACCGAATCATCTTGATCTTACCATTGATACTAGAATGGTGGCTCCTCAAACTAGGTGCTTCAAGAATAGGAGCCATTGTATCTTCAGCAACAGTACAGCTATCACCTAAGGATATCGAATATCGTGGAACACAACTCGAGGCCACATGCATCGTAGCTGATGAGAAGAACGTTCCAAAAGTCGACCAAGTTACATCCAATATTCCAACACTGAAATGTAAGATTCTAGCCGACCCAACATCATCTGTCAACCTAAGTGGATGGAAAAATTTTAACAGATTGAATTTTAAATATGATTCCAATCACGAATGTGCATTGACGAAAAGTGACGATTCCTTCGCCATATTTTTTACCAGTGGAACTACAGGAAATCCTAAAATGGTGGAACATACACATGCTAGCTTAGGATTAGGACTTTTGAACGACTCCAAGTATTATATAGAATCCAAACCAGGAAAGTTATTATGGTGTATTTCTGATCCAGGTTGGGTAAAAGCGGCATATATAGGATTTTATAGTGTGTGGTTGGGAGGAGCTGGGTTATTCTCCCACGAGATGGGAAGGTTTGATCCCGAACTTGTTGTGAACGCATTGAAGAAATATCCACTTACTGCCTTCATGACAGTTCCTACTTCATTCAGGATGATTCTTCAGAAATATCATAATCAAAATATAGACATATCGCCGACAATCACTGATTTTTACTCAGGAGGAGAATCAATAGAAAAGCACTTATTAGAAAATTGGGAGAAAAGAACTGGGATTAAAATAAGGGAAGTCTATGGCCAGACGGAAATGTTGACCTTTACTACAATGCGCAGCTCCATTCCCTATAAAATAGGATCGACGGGAAAGCCATTCCCTGGCATCGAAGTTGTAATCGTCAACGAAGAATTGATGGAATTAAAACCTAACGAAATTGGCCAAATTGCTCTTAGAATCGATAAACATCGACCGTTGAATCTCTTTATGGGATACTACAAGAATCCTACCAAGACAGCAGAGTCGTTCCAAGGAAACTTCTACCTGTCCGGCGACAGGGGCTACATCGACGAGGACGGCTATCTCTGGTTCGTGAGCCGCAACGACGACGTGATCAGCAGTGCGGGCTACCGCATCGGCCCCTCAGAGGTGGAAGAAGCCATCAACACCCATCCTGCAGTTGCAGAGAGCGCCGTGGTGTCCAGCCCTGACCCTGAGAGGGGAGAGGTCGTCAAGGCCTTCGTGATCCTACGGCCCGAGTACAAGGAACAGCCCCAGGACTTGGTGAAACAGCTCCAGGACCACGTTAGGTCCCTCACCGCCCCGTACAAGTACCCGCGGAAGGTGGAGTTCGTCGACTCCTTGCCAAAGACTATCTCAGGAAAAGTCCAGCGATCCGTGCTGAGGGAGATGGAACGAGAAAATAAGTGAGATATATAAACTGTTCTGATCAACTCTATTCTATAAAAAGATCTATAAAGGCAATGCTTTATGATTTTTTTTTAAATTTTAATATAGCGTTCTCCAGAATATCTTATTTTAGCGAAATGAGAACAGGTAATCTGATTGGTAGCAGCAAGAACCAAGGATTCCAAATCTCATGTTCAATTTTAATTTCTCCCTTCATATATATATATTTTTTTTTTCAGAAAAGAACTGATTTAATAATTCTATAATTTCCTTTTTACATACATCAAAGTCTTCTATATTTATAACTTAAGTGTTATATTTTAATTTCATAAATCTAAACGCTCTCTAATAATATTTCAAATATTTCCAGATGTGTGTGATGGCATATTTTTAAAGAATGGGGGTTAAACACGTCAGTATATATCTATATATGTAAAATATAAATGTTAAATAAACTTTTTTGCTTTGAGCTATTATTTATTAAAGATTGAGTGTGATTTTTATTTGCATATTTCCCTAACTATATTACAAACTTTTGTAATGCACTGTGGTGGTATCTCCAAAACACAACATAATAGTATAAAACATCCTTATTTGGACTCTCAACTTTGAGGTTTTAAGTAAGATCCCACAGCGCTACACTAATGCCCATTACAATGGGTCAATTAGTTCTCTAAACACAATGTAGTTTCTTTGTTGATATGAAAGAAAACAAAAATGAAATACATATTTGGAGTAAAAGTAGCTACTAAAGAAAAAAGTATTAAAGTTTAGAGAGGGTAACCATAGAGAGGGTAAAAAAGTCCATCGAGCCAGATTTGAACAAGGATCACCGTTGATACATCTACAGTTTTCTGCTCTGTCAGCTGAGAAATGGAGGGCTGTGTAGTTACAATTCTGTATATCATATATCAAACGAATTTTTAAACAATTATAGTCAAAGCTAGAGTTGTAGCGATCTGATAGATTTAACTGGCGAAAACGCAGGGACGATTCATCGCTTATGAGCTAACCCTCCAAAATATTGTTCACCACAATCCGTTTAGTTAATGCAGAAATTCGCTTTCAATACATTTAGAAAATTTTTATTAAAAAGATTTAATGATAAACTTACAAATGACATATAGTTTCTGATCAGTAACACGGTCTCAAACGATTCCCAGCCCTGTCCGGACATGCCAAGGTGATGACAGTACCTTGGTGTTATGTTCACCTCTACGACTTTGAGACAGATTTCAAACGTCCTAAATTGGCCATCTCTAAATTGAAATATCTTGAATAAAGGATCAATATACTCGATCGTTAAAACTTTGGGATAAAGAGTTTCCTTAAGTTAAACAAAAACCTAATAACTTTCGAACGCCATCGTTCTACTAAAGGTACCTGTTGTAGAGTAGCACCAGAGCACACACCTGTATAAAAACGATACGAAAGCTAGCCCGGTTATGTCTTCATCCTAAAATTTTAACGATCGTCTATTGATCCTCAAGCCAAGCTATATTGGGAGATTATATTGTACTTTAATAGAATATATTGTCACACAGAGAGAAAAAAAGAGATATATTGCACCGAAATATATACTTCAGCTCAAAACCATAGGTATGGGTAAGAGAGCTAAGGGAGAGTCTTTAATCTACTTTGTCGCAAAACGAAAAAAAAAAAGAGGCTGGTGTAATAACATGGCCTATATAATACAAGATGTTCCAATAGCCACTTTACAATTTTAAAGTTCGATAACATAACTTTTAATACTTATAAATGACTGCGGCGTATAATTATAAAGCTATACAAACAGTTTAACCGCATAAGTTTCTTTTTTATTTATGAAAAATCATTTTTTAATTTCAAAGAGAAATATTGAATATTTCTAACTTTTGGATGACGTATGAAAAGGTTGAATATATGAAGAGTGATTGTCTATATATGAATGAATGACGTATGGAAGGGTGAAAAATATGAAGAGTAATGGCGAACGGAAAAATAAAAGTGTCCAGGAGCGGGGATCGAACCCACAACCTTCTGCTTACCGGGCAGGCACCATGTCCACTAGGCTATCCTGGACGTATTTCTCCGTTCGTAACTAATATTTAAACTGACTAATAATACTTATAAATGACTGCGGCGTATAATTATAAAGCTATACAAACAGTTTAACCGCATAAGTTTCTTTTTTATTTATGAAAAATCATTTTTTAATTTCAAAGAGAAATATTTAATATTTCTAACTTTTGGATGACGTATGAAAAGGTTGAATATATGAAGAGTGATGGTCTATATATGAATGGATGACGTATTCATATCCATTCATATATAGACCATCACTCTTCATATATTCAACCTTTTCATACGTCATCTAAAAGTTAGAAATATTAAATATTTCTTTTTAAACATAAAACAAACTTCTATTGTCCTTACTGCGATTTAAAAATATTGGGAGGGTTTGGCTCATCAGTGGTTAACTCTCATAGCGGTTTCTCCAATTTAATCTACCAGTGCCTTCCCAATATTTTTTCATTGGTTGATTAAATTGGCGAACCCGCTGGAAGGGTTCACCACTGACGAACCAAGCCCTCCCTATTTTTTAAATCGCAGTAAGGACAATAGAAGTTTGTTTTATGTTTAAAAAGAAACATTCGCGCTTTGATATCTTCATTTCTTATACATAGATGGCGCGTTATCACCTTATAATTATAATATTGTGCGTTCATAACATATGTAAATATATTTGTGAGATGATGGATTCGTGAAAAAAATTTCTGGAGCGAAAATAAGTAGAAAGTGAACAAGTTGTAAAAAGAATAATTGAACTGTGATAGACAATAGAGATGGGAAGGGTTATATATTTGACATAAAATTATGAGTTCAAGATTGATCAATATTTAGCCTATGGAGACCAGAACATGTTCAATAGCAGAAAAACTGAAATGAGAAAGAGCATTTATACAATATAGGATTTTTTTTTATTGAGTTGTAGACTTTTGTGAAGTTAATTTACCTATTTTTAGTTTTGTGTTTCAGTATATGTGTGTTAATTCTCCATTTAAAATATAAATATGTATTTGTTTGTAAGTGTAATCTTTGTATAAAGAAACAGACATGCACTATTTATATTAAATACCGTAAACAAAAAAGTTGAATTATAACATTTTATAGATATTTTTTAAGAGTTGGAGGAATCAATAACATTTGAATTTACCATGTGCGCTAACTGAATATGTTTTAACTGTCAGCTTGTCATTAAGGTGAACATCTCCCCTGTATATACACGGTTGTAAATAATTCATGATCGGTAATACCATCATTATTAACAAACTAGAAAACTGAACCTAATGTTTATAAGAGCTCCTAACAGTCCCCTATATTCTGTAGGAAAATAAAACATTAAAGCACGAAAGTTTCTTTTATAAATAAAACAAACGTCTACTGCCCTTACTGAAATGTGAAAATTATATATTAGAATTATTATGCCTTCTGTACACATTTGATCCAGCGTTGTTTACAACTGGCAAAAGCACTTTGATAAAACGCCTTATCCAACTCTCTGAGCCTCACGTGGTTCTCCATGAGACCAGCAGGTATGTATGGGGAATTTAGTCACATACACCCAAACTGTGCGAAATATTTCACTTTCGAATTGATTTATAATATATATATATTTATATATTTTATACTCTTTATGAATGAAAATATATGTGTTACATTCAAAGATTTTTAAAATATTTTGAATAATAGAGGCTTTATATATACTTTAAAATTTTATTAAGTTAATACATATACAGCGTGTAGAAGGCGAATTGTGAAAAATGTAATATATTTATAGCTCCTTTTTTACAAGTATAAATCAATATATTGAAATTAAAATGGGTACAGTAAAAAGATATTTTTTATTTATTCAACGTAGAGTCCATTATTAGCTAGGGCAGACTCGTAGTCAGTGCGAAAGTAGCACAGACCTTGGTGATAAGGACATCCCTTGTTCATTTGGGTCATCACTGTGTGAACCGCACCCTGTACAGACTGGATGGTGTTGTGGGAGCTATATTGGCATCGCTCTCTACAACGTTCCATACATAGTAGTCGAGGAAGTTTCAGTCTTGAGAGTTAGGAGGCCAAATATCTAGTGGTTGGAAGTGTTAATTATCAGCCATACCTGTGTCGTCTTTGTCATATGTTGGAGAAGATATAATTCCTTCCTCAGGCTGATATGTCCATCCAAGGCTTCACGACGGTTTTCAGGAAAATTATGTAAGTCTCAGCGTTCATTCTGAAGCCCTACTTAAAGAAGTGGGAAGAAATGTCATCACCTCACTGCTTATGACATTGAAGACCATCACGAAGGCAGTCGAACCGAGTTAAATTGTTTAGTTGAATTCAGTTCCACTAGATGGCGCTCTGCCATCTAATATACATAATAAAGTGGTCAGGATATGCCTTTGTTGTTGTTTTTAATATCAACATGATTTTTTCTATGTTTTTTTTTTTCACATGTACCGCGTTTTTACCCAAATTTGGCCTTAAATACCCATTTCTTGATATATCAGGAAGCCTCTTGGGTCAAATATTTGGTCACAGAGGTACAGTCTTTACCACGCTGACGAGGGCAAACAGCCCGAAACGCGTTCGTGGTTGGCTTTTAAAAAAAATTATTTATCAATAAAATGGTTTAGCCAAATATCACTGAACAAGTTAAATCAACATTTTTGATTTTAACTAAACTAAATAGTAGAAAATAGATTTCATTTATAACTTATAATTAAAAACTGTTACAAAAAAAAAACTTTATAGGATTGTTATAAGAATATTTGAACATTTTTCAGAGTATTGAACAATTAGTGTCGAACAAACTGGAATAACATCAATACCTCTTACATTGGAAGAGGAAGTTTCCCATTACTATGATAGGACAAAAAGGTTCCACGCTGCAGGGATGCCATTGCAGCCAGCTGGGGTAATCGGAGATGTCGAGGACCTGAGATATCTTATCTCCCGTCGTTGGTTGGTCCTGCAACTGTGACAACGACCCATTCAACGTCTTAGATAGATACTACACACGTAGTGTCTTGTATCTACACTCCCTTACTCTGCTCTCTTTTTATAAAATATCTACATCCCATTCTCTCTCTTAACGCGATAGATAGGTTATAGGTACGTAGTCTTGTATCTACACTTTCCCTGCTATCTTCCAATAAAATATCTACATCCCATTCTCTCTCTTAACGCGATAGATAGGTTATAGGTACGTAGTCTTGTATCTACACTTTCCCTGCTATCTTCCAATAAAATATCTACATCCCATTCTCTCTCTTAACACGATAGATAGGTTATAGGTACGTAGTCTTGTATCTACACTTTCCCTGCTATCTTCCAATAAAATATCTACATCCCATTCTCTCTCTTAACACGATAGATAGGTTATAGGTACGTAGTCTTGTATCTACACTTTCCCTGCTATCTTCCAATAAAATATCTACATCCCATTCTCTCTCTTAACACGATAGATAGGTTATAGGTACGTAGTCTTGTATCTACACTTTCCCTGCTATCTTCCAATAAAATATCTACATCCCATTCTCTCTCTTAACACGATAGATAGGTTATAGGTACGTAGTCTTGTATCTACACGTTCCCTGCTATCTTCCAATAAAATATCTACAGCCTGTTCACATACAACGTGTTAGATTCTAGACACAAGAGGGTTGAATTTACATTTGCCCCCGGTTTCCATGCGTTATGTTATAAACACACAGATATTCGCCATTCCATATCTTGTGTTGATAACTCTTCTATGTAGAGAACAACTTTTTGATTGCGATTACTATATTGTGATAATATAAAGGAACAAAAAGGAGCTTCTTCTGTAGAACATTCCGCTAGCTTTCGAACGACATTTCAACACGCCCGTTGAAGAACAATGTCGTTCGAAAGCTAGCGGAATAAACGTACTCTACACAAGAAGCTCCTTTTTGTTCTTTTATATTATCTCAATATAATAACTCTTCTATACTTCATATATACATGCGATGTATACACTCATGGACCAAACTTAAGGAAGTGTAGAGTCTTTGACGTCGCTGGTTGAAGGTTTTTTTTAGAGAAGACAGAGGCAATTTTTGATCACACTTGGTTATCTCGCGTGTCTTCAATAAAGGTCACTGTGTATCAAATATCTTTCAGGATTACTGTCTGAATCCCGATATACATGCTTAAAGGTACAACTTCCTTAAATTTTATCCATAAGTGTAAAGATATGTTTGTGGTTTTAGATATTTATTACCCAGATTTGTGGCTACAGATATTGTTGTCACAGTGAAACATCTAAAACATATATAATGTTTTATATTCTACAAGATAACATTCTTCTGTGATCTCTGCTAGCCCTATTCATCCTTTCTTCACCTTTCATAAGATCTTTCTACTTAACTTCTTAGCAGATTCACACATACTTAGTTTTTATAATATATATATTTTTCACAATGTGTATTAGCATATTTATTATTTTAAATATGAAAGATATCAATCGATTATTCATGATTTAAGCCAGTTGAAAAGCGATTCTCGTTTGATATAGCCTTGATTTCAAATAAAAAATGATACTCATTGTAAAAAATATTTTATAATATTAATACCTTTCAAAATTTTACATTGAATTATGAATATACATTTAGTTGTCAGTTCTTCACAATCCGAATTACATATTGCTAGGCCGGCTCATCAGTAGCCGACGCTCCTGGCGTTTCTGCTTATATGTTATCAGCACTTGAAGCATGGAATTTGGTGACTGAATCTAGGCAATTGTGGAGGCCTATTTCAACGCGAATTCTTTTATAAATAAAACAAACTTTCTACATCCTCTCTGTGATGTGGTCGACATTTTAATTTTCCAGGCCGCTCTGATACTGTATTGGGCTGTTTGGTAATATATCCAGCATCAAGAGGAATTCTTGGTAAAGGTATTACCTGTGTGGAAGATTAAACTGGCGAAAGGACTCACCACTGATGAACCACAGGTCCTCCAAATATTTTACTACCAGAAAATACAGCAGAAATTTATTTTATTTATG